GTTATACTAATGCTTATATGAGTGGGTTTTGATAGAAAGGTAACACGAAATTTTTTAGGGGGTTTGTTGATCAAATAATGTTACACGTGTTTCAATACATAATTTTCACTTGCATATTTACTATTCCATAAAAAAAATCTTTTTCTCACAAAAATTCAAAATAAACAAACATTATAATAACTGATTGATTAATTTTATCTTACCTCACGAATTTACTGACAAAAAATTTTTTAAAAAACTAAAAAAACTAATCAAAAATTTCTTTTTTTTTCATTTATACTTTGAACTCTTTTAAAAAAAATACAAAAATACACATTAAAAAAAATGATATATCAATCAGTAATTGTTAAGCTTTTTAGTGGAATGAAACCACTTTGTTTATTCTTTCCTGCTGTAGCAAAAACCACGATATTCGATTTAAAACAAATAATATTTGGACGCTTATTGGTCGAACCTAAAAACCAAAAGCTCATCACAATATCTGGAATATGTTTAAATGACTCGACCAGAATATTTGAGAATGACGACGTCGAGTTCACAACCTTGACGCTTAAACTACCATTATATGGCGGCAAAGGTGGATTCAATACGATGTTAAGAGCCCAAGGTGAAAAAATGACCAGTCAAAAAACAACAAATTTTGAAGCTTGTCGTGGCCTGAACGGCGGAAGGCTAAGAACTGTCAATGAAGCAAAAAGGCAATTTATTAATGTCGATATTAATTAAACTAATAGATCCTTACATATATATATTTATATATGTAAGTATGTGATTTCATTCATGAACAATTAGATTGTTTGATTTTCTGGAAAAAGAACCGGAAAGGGAGCGAGCTCATAATGAAAAAATGCAAAGAAAAATCGAAAATGGTTTTAATGAACGTCAAACGAAAAAAAATAAATTTGATGATTCCGAATTCCTCAAACAAGGTGAGGAGATGAAAGAGAATGTACAAATGGCAGCAACAGAAGGTGAGCTGACCAATTGATATATAAATATGGACAGTAATATTAATATAATATTAATAACAATATGATTATTTATTTATATAGCACTAAAAAAATCGTTTAATATCACAACCATCATAACCACTAACACTATTGCTACTCAATCTGCTATTTATACCACCATTGCTACACCCACTAAATCAATAAATACCAATGCGTTATCAATGTGGTAATGATCATTAGATTAATCGATCATTAATTAATCTATTAGTCTTATCACGAAACTAATAAATAATTTATTATTATTGTAATTAATTAATTAGGGATGTTGAAATGACCGATAGTAGTGAAGATAATGACGATGTTGAAATGACAGATTCTGATGCATAGAAAGGGAAGGAGCATCTCGTGAATGTCGGATGTTTTTTTTTAAAAAAAAAATAATTATACATATTATTAATCTATAATTTTTCTTTTTTCTTTCGCTTTAATTTCTAAAAATTTCTTTGTAAATATTTGCTTTAGAATAAGATTATGAAAAATTTTTTATCATTTGTAAAATATTGATTTGATTTATTAATTTTTTTTTTCATAGCTTTCAATAATTTTTTTATTTTATATTTTAAATGTTGTCGTTGTTATCCTAGGTATACTTCATCTTGTTTCATAGGATCAGGTTTTTTGCCATGTGGTTTTAATCCTTTGCTTTCTAAATATGCTTTTAATTCGGCAACAGTAGCCTTTGTTTTTTAACACGAAAATGATTAAGGATTTGTAATGAAATTAAATTAAAGAAGGACGTTAAAGAGTTTATGTGTGTGTATAAGATTA